ATATATAAAATCATAACATACTCCTAAAACTATAAAACATTCCAATAATAACTGGGCATATCAAGGATGGAGAAAATGCAGATAAGAATCAGGTCTCTGCCCCTGAAGAGTGTACAGTCTACTAGAAAGCAATAAAATGTATAAACAAAGGCACCTGGGTAGTGCTGGCTGATGGGCTGCAAAGGAATATATTTAGCCAGTAGATAAAGAGCAAATGGTGGGTCCTATCTGGGGGTTGCACTTCACAGAATGCTTTAATTCCTAAGCCTCTGTGCTTGGGCTAGGAATTTAGCAGGGTTTCACTGATAAGAACCTGAGTAACACATTTGTCATGTCCAGAAATAATGGAATTGGGACTTGACCCAGGCATGACTACAAGACTCCCTGGAACCCTTCTGGACTGAGGGAACAACATTAAGAATGAGTGCAACAGTAAGAAACGGGGGTGGGTTTAGAACATCGCTGTGTCTTCACATTTTGACAGTAGAAGGTCAGCAAAGTGTATCCAAAAAGCAATTTTCAATTCAATTTAGTAGGTACAACACCATAGTAAGCATGGCATCTCTTACCTGAGGAGGACAAAAAGGTGCCTGTATGTCAGGTGAGGAACAACCTCCAGTCTCCACCCTTGAGAATCTACCGCACCCCTCCCAGCAGTGGAGGGGTCTGCATGTGGCCAGCCTCTTGCGGCTGCACTGGCCAGAGTACCCCAGCACTTAAGCCATCCACACGGAGCTGTGGAAAGAGGCAGAGTGCAGAAAACATGCTCTTTGGATGCTGTAAGCTTTGGCTTTAGTGTGACGCATGTCACATCATATCCTGGTCAGAGCTGGTCACAAGGTCCACCCTAAGTAAAGGTGACTTCTTGTATGCCCAGATGAAAATGGAGAGAGGCTTGGTGAGCAAGGAAGATAATTTGGTTTTCAAAAAACAAGGCAGTGATAATCTAGAATATGCTTTGTATGAATTTATTTTATATAACATGTATATCATAACATATATAAAATAGCATGCATGTCATATGCTTGTGTAACATGTAGATATATACATAAGTGATATGCATAGATACACACAAATATAAAGTATATATATTTGCAACTAAAATCAATATAAAGTATGTAAATGGAAGGAACAGACGCTTGTGTCACATAGCTTCTGCTATGAGCACAAACGTTCCTCGTAATTGCATAAAATACCCGTAGAATGTTAAGTCAACAACTGCAAATGTCTGGTCTTGAAAGAGCTGCCCACACCACTAGGAAGAGGCTGTCCAAGGACGTGTCACATCAGTTGGAGGAGATGCTGAAGGTACCCACCAGTCACAGAGTGACACACAGGGAGAAGAAGTGTCCGAATATTTCACAATGACAGTGGCTGACTAGGGACGATGGGGTTGGGCAGAGAGAGAGCAAGTGCAGATACAGGGCTCCCTGACAGACAGGGTGGAGCAGGAGGTTGAGGCACTTGGGCACCGAGGTGAAAGAAACCAGTATGTGAGGGTAAGAGGGAAGGAGCAGGGCACAACATGAGAAAACAAGGCGAAGCATGTGGGGTCCCCGAGGAAGATGCCTGGAGGAGGTGCTGAGCCCAGGACAGCCATGGGCATGGGGTGTTGACAATGAAAAAGAGAACAAAAGTCTAAAAGTGCATGTAAGTTACTCAAATTCCTAACTTCTTTGCTTCTGAGTGCAAGCGATGCAGAGGAGGGCAGATCTCCAAGTTCAGTGGGCTGGAGGTCAGGTGGCATTCCTGAGGAGCAAAGACAAAGGATTCAGTCAGACAGGGCTGCTTTAGAAACTGTATCGGAAACCTCTGGGGACAGATGCCCAGCCCCATCTCAGACAGCAAGGGCTGGCTGGGCTGCTTCTGCTCTGCTCCTTTATCTATCACAGGATTGAATAAATTGGTGCTTGTCTCTGACTAATTTAATTTGCATAATGCCCTCCAAATCCATCCATGTTGTCACAGCTTGCAAGGTTGTAGTTTTCATAGCTGCGCAGTAGTCCACCGAGTTTGGGTATCACCCCTTTGTCACCCACTCATTTGCTGTTGGGCATTTAGGTTGCTTCCACTGCTTGGCTGACACAGTGCCACCATGACTGTAGGCATGCACTTGTCACTGTTTCAATTACTGGGTTTTTTGGACTCAAGTAGACACTAGCAGTGGAATTGATCACAAGATAGACCTATTTATAATGCTTTGGATTGTCTTGGGGGGGTTAAATTAGTCTATATTTCCACCAACCATGTAGGAGGGTTTAATTTTCCTCCACACTTTCTCCAGCACTGGCCATTTCTGGATTTTCTAATACGGGTCAGTCTCCCAAACGTGAGTTGTAGCTTAATGAAGTTTTGATTTGTGTTTTTCTGTGTGCCTATTTGCCAATTCATATGTCTTTTGGAGAAGCGTCTATTTAGCTCTTCTACATTTTTCACTGGGCTCTTTGTTGTTGAGTTGTATGGGTTATTTTAAGATCTTGGGTATTAGCCCCTTGTTGAATATATGATGTGAAAATATTTAGTCCTATGCAGTAGGGTATCTTTTCATTTCAATGATTGTTTCTTTCACTCTGAAGAAGCTTTTAAGTTTGATGTAGTCCATCTGTGTTTATTTCTAATTTTGTTTCCCTCACTGTTGGAGTCCTGTCCTCAAAGACATCCTTTAAGACAATGTCACAGATTGTTTTGCCTGTTTTCTTCTGTTTTTAATGGCTTAAGTTCTGACAACCAAATCATTGATCCATTTGAAATGAATGGTTGTGTATATGTGAGATAGTGATGTGGGTTCTTTATTGCGGCTGTCCAGTTTTCTCATGCCGTTAGTCGAACAGGCTTTTCGTTTTCTGTTGTATATTCTTGACACCTTTATTAACTGTCCATATAAATGTGGGCTAATTTCTGTCTTAATTCTGTTCCACTGATCTGTGTGTCTATTTCAATGCCACTACTGGATTGTTTTGGTCAAAGGCATAAGGCCCATTCATAGCCTAGATATGTGCTGGGTTAACCAGCTATACACTGACCGTTCAGGAGCTTCTTTCCCAAACTAGCTGTTTTGTAGGACTCAAGTCTGTGATCCCAGCATCCTACCATCCCTGCTCTAACTTTTATACCCCAAATCAATGCAAAGGCCAAGTTCTCAAAAAAAAAAAAAAAAAAAAGGGACCAGCTAAAGGTGCATATGGGTATATTGGCACACTGCGTCTGTGTCTGCTCTCCCTGAACCAGCTTACCATTTCTTTGATAGGGTCAGTTCTTTTTATCTTAAGGCTTCAACTGTAAAAAACCACCTGTCTTAAAATGTTGAGCATAAGCCATTTTCCAAGGTCCCAAGTCTTAATTCTTTATACCAGAGGTCACAAATTCAAGCAAAATCACTATGTGAATTGGCAGGTCATTAAATATATGGCATAGAAACAATTGGGAATATGAATAGAGAGACTGTATCTTCTTTAAGCTGACTCAAAGGTTGGCAAAACAGACTATGCATCTTTTCAATAACATCCCATCGGTAACTTAAAATCAGTCATTCTGAGAATATTTACCACAGAAAATGGCAAATGGTACAAATCTTTTTTTTTAACCTCTCAGCATATCACTGGAAATAGGTAAAGCATTCCTAGATCCCCCAATATTAAGAAATAGACATTTGATGTATTTGTGAACACTTACTGTAACGCAGACATGATGTTAACTACCATGGTGGCAAATGAAACCATTGCGTGGGTGGCTGCATGAATCACTGCCTATGCCAGGGCGTCACACACTCATCTCTAGGTCTGGATTTGGCACCTACAATAATTGAGCAAATCTCAAAGGAACTTGAGTGTTCAATCCCAAATGATTGCCATTCATTACAGGTGGTTCCTTTAACATCCTTGAACATATATGAACATTATCATAGGTGAAAAGTCACTGTAGAGATGGAAAAGTCAATTGTGAGGCTGGATAGAGAATCATTCTATCTGTTAAATCAGTGGTTTAACAGTGGTTCAAGAGAGTAATGACATAGCCCTATGTGCATAATAAAATGCTTTGTAAAGCAGTGGGCAGAGAATATTTACTGTTATATGTGTTTGTATATATGGGTATATGAACAGATAAAGACATACCTAGGAAATGGGATGTCCTTACAGGAACAAGGGAGGGTGAAAAGTGGGACACTAATTCATTTTACTTGAATCAGAAGAAATTGCCAGCTGCTCTGGTCAGGGTTTGACATCAGAGGTCATAAATATTCTGCCCTCTCAAGGTGCAGACGGTTCTCTTAGAAACACCTGATTGCTCTAATTTTCAGTCTGAGCATCTGCCACCTCTCAGCACCTCTCAAATGCAGCCCGTTTACTTCACATTTCCAGTTTGAGCTTCCTGCCAGCATCCCTGATGACAATTCATCCTATCTAGGCTTAGGGGTTGTTGTCTGGCTTTGCACTGTAATGTAAGCAGGTTAGAAAGAAGAGAGCATCTCTGCAGGTTAATCACTGCTACACTGAGACACGGGGTGACACTTAGCTCATAACCTGTAATGTAATGGGACTATAATCTCCTGGTCACTGCTCTTTAGTGCCTTGTTCCCCAAATGAGAGGGGAGTTTTATAAAGCTTCATTATAAAAAAAAAAGAGAGAGCAAGAAACCATATACAAAAATGTCTAAAATGCAATGACATTTTTAAGACAAATTTAATTGTGCTGGCTTCAGTCTCTCTTCATGGGTAGTTCTTTGAAATGCAGAGTAAATGTTTCTCATCCTTCTTTGTTTATGGTATAGATAAAATTTAACAGCTAGGTCACCCCATAATCTGCTCATATACCTTCATAAATTTTCTGTCTTTATCACTAGCAGAACAGTATCCTCATCAACTTTCAAATGGAAAGCAGGCCAGGATAGAAACAGAGGGTGAGATCTCAGTAGACTGGGTACTTTGAGATGAGCAGGCTCTCAAGTAAGCCCACATATTTATGTAATGCACTTACAAGGTTGTTTGGAAAATATTCACCCTCCGGGTTCATTCATGGAAGCCAAACATTGGGACTCTACTGACACTGTAGACTTGGTTTAAAGAAGTCTGTTTGTTTTAACCTAAATAAGATGTAGTTTCTTTGAGAGAAAGAAAATTACTGACCAGGATGACAGGGCTGATGGAGAGAGCACATGGCAGTAAACTTTGAGGGGATACTGGGCATCTAGATAGCTTAGCTAATGATCTGAATTCGAAGAGTCTGAGTAGTAAGATGATAGTCACAGATCTGACAGTTTTGCTTAGGTAAAGCTAAGCTCAGTTTCTCCTACACATTCTTAAGTCTTGCTTTGAAACTTCATCTGGGAAGCCTTTTCCCGGGGGGATGTCTCTGCTATGTGCTTGCCCAGTGCCCTGTCATATTTGTCATAATTGCTTGCTTAGTGTCTCCTTTCAACAGTCCCAGAAGGTCTGGGGTCTCCTCTGAGTGGCACATCTTTGTATTCAAAGACCCAAGAACAGGGCGGGGCATGCTGGGCTATTAAGTATTTATAGGATGCATATAAGATGCACATTTACTGGTCCTGGCCCTCACTGCTCCAAATTATCTGAAATTTGTCAGCCTCTGCTTTTCTTTGTATCTAATTACATGTCATGTGCCCTTACAATGGACCTGAACACCAGGGACAGCCTGTCACGATCTGTGGGATTATGGCAGGTCACTTGATTTTTAGGCTTTCATTTCCTCATTTGCATATATGGGTTTGCACTTGATTGGATCATAGTGAATGACTGAAGTATAAACAGACATAAGAGATTCGGGGCTGTTGAGGTTAGGATATCCATTCAAGAAATAGCTATTGACTACCTTCCACATGCCAGACAGTGTCTAGCCACTGGGGATGCAGTAGAGAAAAAAATGAAAATAATCCTTATGGAGCTTGTATGTTGGTGAGGTGAGACCATACACAAACAAGCAAGTAGAAAGTATACAAGGCAGCTCACAAATAGTGTGGAGAAAATGGAACAGGAAGGGAAAGAAGATACAAGATTGTGATAAAGGGCTCAGGTGCGGCTGTGATTTCTAGTAGAATGGACAGAGAACTTTGTCCACAAGAAAATAACTTCTGATAAAAGACTTGGAGTGATGGGGAGTTACCGATATACTTGTCTAGTCTAAGGAGTGAACCTAACAGGTGCCCCTAGGTCATTTACTGAATGAAGGACTGTGAGGAGAGCAGCTCTGTGGGTAGGGCTATGGTGAGGGTAAGATCAGGAGGTGGAGTTTAGACATGTACTTTTGGAATCGTTAATTGATAAAGTGGACATGTAAGCAGTCGGGCATATGATTGGGAGCTCAGGGGCAAGCTCTGAGCTCCAAGAAATAAAAAGTTAACAGAGGGAGTATGACTATTCAGAGTGAGGCCTGGGCAGTTTGGAAGTCAGGACAATGCGAAAAGCAAACTTGCATGAACCAACAAAGGAACAGTTGGTGAGGCCAAGGCAGACTTGTGTTTGAGAAGCTGGCAGAGGCAGGAAGATGCCCCTGTGAGGGACCAGGAGACGGGTACCATGGAGTGAGTGGTAGAGGAGAAAGCTGACATGGAGTGGGTTCAAGAGAGAATGGGAGGAAACGATTCAAGATAGTAAATTTGGCAATATTTGTAATGTTTGCTATAAAAGGAAGCAGCTTCCTGTTGGACAGCCTGGTGCCCTTTCTCATGGGACTAAGCCATAGCTGGCCGCAAAGGTCCCTAAAGGCAAATCCAAGGGAAGGTTGAGCAGCTGTAG